TTCTTCAAAACTTTTCATTTACAGCATGTAGATCGCTACTTGGGAGTTGTTGTTTTTTTCCATAGTGATGGGAAACTTTAATGTGCCTAATAAGTATTGTGAATTAACATTTATTAGAATATAAGCTGGCACATACCAGCAGTTTCCAGCTTATCTGACTGATCTTTGCCAGCTGCTTCATCATCTATTTATGCTTCAGCTTTAGTGTTCCGTCACGTGAAAAGTGAAGAAACACAGATCACTGGAAACTGTATTCATGGATGTGTTTTGCAATTTTCCACGGATATTTCCTGAAAATAGACGTAACTCATAACTATGTAACACAGATGTACAAATGTGTGGGAAGTGGAGCAGCAAAAACTAAGGGTAATGAGGAACCGCGTGGGAGGAAATATGAGCATGAAGTCAAACTCAAATGAAGCATTTCTTCCCCGCTGAAAGGTAGGCCTTCACTCTGGGGATATGAAACTGATTTCTCCAGCCAACACTCCCCCATGTCCATCTTGCTCTCATTAGTCTTGCAATGTTCTTGCCTCTCGCTCTTCCTGATGCTTGATTAATTAAACATAATATAGTTTGGCAGCTGAAACATGTTCCTGTCTTCACACTAGACTGAGTTAGAAGAACAGCAAAAACAGTGAGTATGTCAGGAAGATGGAGGAACTCTGAGTACTTGACTGGGCTGGATGTGAAGTTCAGAAAGCAGGAATGTGTCAGGCTGGTGTAAAAAAATTAAATTGCTTAGAATTACAGCTTAGATTTGCTTCAGGGTAAGTATATAAATTCCTCTTTGTTTCAGTCTTACAATCAGGCTGTTTGATGGATCCATCCGTCCCAAAATGCTGTAAATGTCAGATGATTCAGGGATGCATGGCTCACCTGATGAGTGATGAAGTGGCCAAAAGCATCCCTTCATATCTCAGTGTGTTACTTTTTAGCCTTGAGAAATTCAGATTCCAGTATTGACGTCAGCAGTGGTTTTGTCCGCCCTAATTTCCAGGTTGTTAAAATATTCACAGGTAGCGTCACGTCTCTCGCACCTTTAAAGGTGTTACATTTCAAAAGAGATCTGATTAAGAGTGAAAGCAGAATGCTGGCAAACAGGAATTTACAAGTAGATTAGATAAGCAGGAACTCCTACACCCTGCCCTTTAATTCGCAATAACATGTTGATGAAATAGATTTCATTAGTTAGAACATCATCAGTTAAAACTGAAGCACACAGGCATTTTGGCCTTTTCCCCCCACATGCAAATGCATTGTTAGGTGACTAAAAATAGTGCTTTTGGAAAAAAAAATTTCACAGTTAAGATCTTCAGAAACTCCAGCCTCTTGCACATTAATATGGAGGTCACAGTCAACACAATAACAACCCAGTGTAGATCAACGATACATCAAATACCAGAGAAAACCAAACTGTGGACCAAGTATTAGAACGGACGCAGAGGCGTTAGTGTGCTGGTGAAGTGGTGCATCGTACAGCAGCTAAGTTGTAAACGTCTAACT